TGCTGTTGTTGTTGATGATGTTGCTGTTGTTGTTGGTGTTGTTGGTGGTGGTGTTGTTGTTGATGATGTTGCTGTTGTTGTTGATGTTGTTGCAGTTGTTGTTGGTGTTGTTGCTGTTGTTGTTGATGTTGTTGTTGTTGTTGGTGGTGGTGTTGGTGGGGTGTTGTTGGTGTTGTTGTTGATGATGTTGTTGTTGTTGTTGGTGGTGTTGTTGTTGTTGTTGATGATGTTGTTGTTGTTGGTGGTGTTGGTGGTGGTGTTGTTGGTGTTGTTGTTGATGATGTTGCTGTGTGTTGTTGATGTTGTTGCAGTTGTTGTTGGTGTTGTTGCTGTTGTTGTTGATGTTGTGTTGTTGTTGTGTTGGTGGTGTTGGTGGTGGTGTTGTTGTGTTGTTGTTGATGATGTTGTTGTTGTTGTTGGTGGTGTTGTTGTTGTTGTTGATGATGTTGTTGTTGTTGTTGGTGGTGTTGGTGGTGGTGTTGTTGCTGTTGTTGTTGGTGTTGTTGTTGTTGTTGGTGTTGGTGTTGCTGTTGTTGCTGTTGTTGTTGTTTGTTGCTGTTGTTGTTGATGATGTTGTTGTTGTTGTTGGTGGTGTTGTGTGGTGTTGTTGGTGTTGTTGTTGATGATGTTGTTGTTGTTGTTGGTGGTGTTGTTGGTGTTGTTGCTGTTGTGTTGATATGTTGCTGTTGTTGTTGGTGTTGTTGGTGGTGGTGTTGGTGTTGTTGATGATGTTGCTGTTGTTGTTGATGATGTTGCTGTTGTTGTTGGTGTTGCTGTTGATGATGTTGCTGTTGTTGTTGGTGTTGCTGTTGTTGTTGATGATGTTGCTGTTGTTGTTGTTGATGATGTTGCTTGTTGTTGTTGTGATGATGTTGTGTTGTTGTTGTTGATGATGTTGCTGTTGTTGTTGGTGTTGCTGTTGGTGTTGGTGTTGTTGTTGATGATGTTGCTGTTGTTGTTGCTGTTGTTGTTGATGATGTTGCTGTTGTTGGTGTTGCTGTTGTTGTTGGTGTTGTTCCTGTTGTTGTTGTTGATGTTGCTGTTGTTGTTGGTGTTGTGTTGATGATGTTGCTGTTGTTGTTGATGATGTTGCTGTTTGTGTTGGTGTTGTTGTTGATGTGTTGCTGTTGTTGTTGATGATGTTGTGTTGTTGTTGATGATGTTGCTGTTGTTGTTGTGTTGCTGTTGATGATGTTGCTGTTGTTGTTGATGATGTTGCTGTTGTTGTTGGTGTTGTTGTTGATGATGTTGCTGTTGTTGTTGCTGTTGTTGTTGATGATGTTGCTGTTGTTGTTGGTGTTGCTGTTGTTGTTGGTGTTGTTGCTGTTGTTGTTGTTGATGTTGCTGTTGTTGTTGTGTTGTTGCTGTTGTTGTTTTTGATGTTGCTGTTTTGTTGTTGGTGTTGTTGTTGATGATGTTGCTGTTGTTGTTGCTGTTGTTGTTGTGATGTTGCTGTTGTTGTTGGTGTTGCTGTTGTTGTTGGTGTTGTTGCTGTTGTTGTTGTTGATGTTGCTGTTGTTGTTGGTGTTGTTGTTGATGATGTTGCTGTTGTTGTTGCTGTTGTTGTTGATGATGTTGCTGTTGTTGTTGGTGTTGTTGTTGTTTGTTGTGTTGTTGCTGTTGTTGTTGGTGTTGCTGTTGTTGTTGATGATGTTGCTGTTGTTGTTGGTGTTGCTGTTGTGTTGGTGTTGTTGCTGTTGTTGTTGGTGTTGCTGTTGTTGTTGGTGTTGATGTTGTTGTTGGTGTTGATGATGTTGCTGTTGTTGTTGATGATGTTGCTGTTGTTGTTGTTGTTGTTGTTGATGATGTTGCTGTTGTTGTTGATGATGTTGCTGTTGTTGTTGTGTGTTGTTGTTGTTGTTGATGATGTTGTTGTTGTTGTTGTTGATGATGTTGCTGTTGTTGTTGGTGTTGCTGTTGGTGTTGTTGATGATGTTGTGTTGTGTGGTTGGTGTTGTTGTTGATGATGTTGTTGTTGTTGTTGATGATGTTGCTGTTGTTGTTGGTGTTGTTGTTGATGATGTTGCTGTTGTTGTTGATGATGTTGCTGTTGTTGTTGATGATGTTGCTGTTGTTGTTGGTGTTGCTGTTGATGATGTTGCTGTTGTTGTTGATGATGTTGCTGTTGTTGTTGGTGTTGTTGTTGATGATGTTGCTGTTGTTGTTTGCTGTTGTTGTTGATGATGTTGCTGTTGTTGTTGGTGTTGCTGTTGTTGTTGGTGTTGTTGCTGTTGTTGTTTGTTGATGTTGCTGTTGTTGTTGGTGTTGTTGCTGTTGTTGTTTTTGATGTTGCTGTTGTTGTTGGTGGTGTTGTTGTTGTTGTTGATGATGTTGTTGTTGTTGGTGGTGTTGGTGGTGGTGTTGTTGGTGTTGTTGTTGATGATGTTGCTGTTGTTGTTGATGTTGTTGCAGTTGTTGTTGGTGTTGTTGCTGTTGTTGTTGATGTTGTTGTTGTTGTTGTTGGTGGTGTTGGTGGTGGTGTTGTTGGTGTTGTTGTTGGATGATTGTTGTGTTGTTGTTGTTGGTGTGTTGTTGTTGTTGTTGATGATGTTGTTGTTGTTGGTGGTGTTGGTGGTGGTGTTGTTGTGTTGTTGTGTGTGTGTTGTTGTGATGTTGCTGTTGTTGTTGATGTTGTTGCAGTTGTTGTTGGTGTTGTTGCTGTTGTTGTTGATGTTGTTGTTGTTGTTGTTGGTGGTGTTGGTGGTGTGTTGTTGGTGTTGTTGTTGATGATTGTTGTTGTTTTTTTGTTGGTGGTGTTTTGTTGTTGTTTGTTGATGATGTTGTTGTTGTTGTTGGTGGTGTTGGTGGTGGTGTTGTTGCTGTTGTTGTTGGTGTTGTTGTTGTTGTTGGTGTTGGTGTTGCTGTTGTTGCTGTTTGTTGTTGGTGTTGTTGCTGTTGTTGTTGATGATGTTGTTGTTGTTGTTGGTGGTGTTGGTGGTGGTGTTGTTGGTGTTGTTTGTTGATGATGTTGTTGTTGTTGTTGGTTGGTGTTGTTGGTGTTGTTGGTGTTGTTGCTGTGTTGTTGTGATGATGTTGCTGTTGTTGTTGTGTGTTGTTGGTGGTGGTGTTGGTGTTGTTGATGATGTTGCTGTTGTTGTTGATGATGTTGCTGTTGTTGTTGGTGTTGCGTTGGATGATGTTGCTGTTGTTGTTGGTGTTGCTGTTGTTGTTGATGATGTTGCTGTTTTGTTGTTGATGATGTTGCTGTTGTTGTTGTTGATGATGTTGCTGTTGTTGTTGGTGTTGCTGTTGGTGTTGGTGTGTGTTGTTGTGATGTTGCTGTGTTGTTGTTGCTGTTGTTGTTTGTTGATGATGTTGCTGTTGTTGGTGTTGCTGTTGTTGTTGGTGTTGTGTGTGTTGTTGTTGTTGATGTTGTGTTGTTGTTGGTGTTGTTGTTGATGATGTTGCTGTTGTTGTTGATGATGTTGCTGTTGTTGTTGGTGTTGTTGTTGATGATGTTGCTGTTGTTGTTGATGATGTTGCTGTTGTTGTTGATGATGTTGCTGTTGTTGTTGGTGTTGCTGTTGATGATGTTGCTGTTGTTGTTGATGATGTTGCTGTTGTTGTTGGTGTTGTTGTTGATGATGTTGCTGTTGTTGTTGCTGTTGTTGTTGATGATGTTGCTGTTGTTGTTGGTGTTGCTGTTGTTGTTGGTGTTGTTGCTGTTGTTGTTGTTGATGTTGCTGTTGTTGTTGGTGTTGTTGCTGTTGTTGTTTTTGATGTTGCTGTTGTTGTTGGTGTTGTTGTTGATGATGTTGCTGTTGTTGTTGCTGTTGTTGTTGATGATGTTGCTGTTGTTGTTGGTGTTGCTGTTGTTGTTGGTGTTGTTGCTGTTGTTGTTGTTGATGTTGCTGTTGTTGTTGGTGTTGTTGTTGATGATGTTGCTGTTGTTGTTGCTGTTGTTGTTGATGATGTTGCTGTTGTTGTTGGTGTTGCTGTTGTTGTTGGTGTTGTTGCTGTTGTTGTTGGTGTTGCTGTTGTTGTTGATGATGTTGCTGTTGTTGTTGGTGTTGCTGTTGTTGTTGGTGTTGTTGCTGTTGTTGTTGGTGTTGCTGTTGTTGTTGGTGTTGATGTTGTTGTTGGTGTTGATGATGTTGCTGTTGTTGTTGATGATGTTGCTGTTGTTGTTGTTGTTGTTGTTGATGATGTTGCTGTTGTTGTTGATGATGTTGCTGTTGTTGTTGGTGTTGTTGTTGTTGTTGATGATGTTGTTGTTGTTGTTGATGATGTTGCTGTTGTTGTTGGTGTTGCTGTTGGTGTTGTTGATGATGTTGCTGTTGTTGTTGGTGTTGTTGTTGATGATGTTGTTGTTGTTGTTGATGATGTTGCTGTTGTTGTTGGTGTTGTTGGTGGTGGTGTTGGTGTTGTTGTTGGTGTTGGTGTTGTTGCTGTTGTTGTTGGTGTTGCTGTTGGTGTTGTTGATGATGTTGCTGTTGTTGTTGGTGTTGTTGTTGATGATGTTGTTGTTGTTGTTGATGATGTTGCTGTTGTTGTTGGTGTTGTTGGTGGTGGTGTTGGTGTTGTTGTTGGTGTTGGTGTTGTTGCTGTTGTTGTTGGTGTTGCTGTTGGTGTTGTTGATGATGTTGCTGTTGTTGTTGGTGTTGTTGTTGATGATGTTGTTGTTGTTGTTGATGATGTTGCTGTTGTTGTTGGTGTTGTTGGTGGTGGTGTTGGTGTTGTTGTTGGTGTTGGTGTTGTTGCTGTTGTTGTTGGTGTTGCTGTTGGTGTTGTTGATGATGTTGCTGTTGTTGTTGGTGTTGTTGTTGATGATGTTGTTGTTGTTGTTGATGATGTTGCTGTTGTTGTTGGTGTTGTTGGTGGTGGTGTTGGTGTTGTTGTTGGTGTTGGTGTTGTTGCTGTTGTTGTTGGTGTTGCTGTTGGTGTTGTTGATGATGTTGCTGTTGTTGTTGGTGTTGTTGTTGCTGTTGTTGTTGTTTCTGTTATTTTGTTCCTGTTGTTCCTATTCCTGTTATTGTTCATACTCTTAGCACTCAGACTGCTAACACCTAGCAAATTATTGCTGTTACAATTTCGGATGGGTGCATGCTTCAGCAGTAGATTAACACCTAGGTCCCTAGGTGTTGCTAGGTGAAGACGAGCACCAGGAGCAAGGAGATTGGTCCACACGTCTGGCCCTGAGTGCTAGTGTGGTCCACACGTCTGGCCCTGAGTGCTGGTGTGGTCCACACGTCTGGCCTGAGTGCTAGTGTGGTCCACACGTCTGGCCCTGAGTGCTGGTGTGGTCCACACGTCTGGCCCTGAGTGCTAGTGTGGTCCACACGTCTGGCCCTGAGTGCTGGTGTGGTCCACACGTCTGGCCCTGAGTGCTGGTGTGGTCCACACGTCTGGCCCTGAGTGCTAGTGTGGTCCACACGTCTGGCCCTGAGTGCTGGTGTGGTCCACACGTCTCTCCCTGAGTGCTAGTGTGGTCCACACGTCTGGCCCTGAGTGTTGGTGTGGTTCACATGTATGGCCTTGAGTGCTGGTGTGGTTCACATGTCTGGCCCTGAGTGCTGGTGTGGTCCACACGTCTGGCCTTGAGTGCTGGTGTGGTCCACACGTCTGGCCCTGAGTGCTAGTGTGGTCCACACGTCTGGCCCTGAGTGCTGGTGTGGTTCACATGTCTGGCCCTGAGTGCTGGTGTGGTCCACACGTCTGGCCCTGAGTGCTGGTGTGGTCCACACGTCTGGCCCTGGGTGCTGGTGTGGTCCACACGTCTGGCCCTGAGTGCTGGTGTGGTCCACACTTCTCGCCCTGAGTGCAAGAACAAGATATACCGTTTATCCTGCTGCAAGTTGTCCATCTATAGGCTGTCTACCTGTAGACGGTCCTCTTGTCATTTCTCCTTATACTGTCGCAGCCTATCCACCCACAGCACCCAGGCCACCCACAACACCCGAGTCACCCACAACACCCAAGTCACCCACCACCCTAATCCACCCACAACACCTAATCAACCCACAACACCCATATCACCCACGACACCCAATCCACCCACAGCACCCAAACCACCCACAACACCCGAGTCACCCACAACACCCAAGTCACCCACAACACCCAATCCACCCACAACACCCCAATCCACCCACAACACCTAATCAACCCACAACACCCATATCACCCACGACACCCAATCCACCCACAACACCCAATCCACACACAACACCCAATCCACCCCATAGCATCCTATCCACCCCACAGCACTTCACAGCACCCCTAGCACCTCTGAGGCCATTAACCTCCGTAACAAAGGTACAATTAAGGCGCATCACCGTGAAGAGCAGGCACATTTGGCCACTCCCAAAGGTGCTGTCACCCTCTCACTGCCCTCATCAGCAGACTGCTATGACGATCTAATCCACCTTCCTCCCCCCTCATCTCCCTCCCTTCCCCTCTCTTATCCCCTCACATTAACCCCTCTTGTAAATACTTAGCCCAGTGAATCACCCCCTCTGCACTTCTCCCCTCGTCTCCCCTCTCTTCCTCTCCCTACCCCTCGTCTCTTCCCACCCCTCATCTCCCCCCCCTCTCCCCTCCAATTACAGGTCCCGTGAGCCCCGACCCCTCCCCCACTGCCCTGCTCCTCGGGATATATATGACCTGTTACCTCTGTCACCTCTGTTGCCTGAAAGGTGTTCGCGCGTGTCTTCCAAGATTTACCTTTGGTGTGGTTACTGTCTTTGTTGCTGCTTGTCTGTGTTGGTTGTGATCACTGTGTTGGTTGTGTTAGTTGTTCATGTTGGTCGTGATCACTGTGTTTGTTGCTTGTTTGGGTTCATGAGGTCCCCTCCTCCCTTTGTTACATTGTCTCTTCCCTCTGTGTAACACTTTCTGTATAAGAAACGTTCTGTGACAAAGTTTAGAATCAGAGTTATCTCAATTTTTAATCGACATCATTAGATGGTCAGCAGTGCATGTTTACCTTTCAACCAACACTTAAATTCTTGCAGCAGGTGTGTAGTTTTATTATACAGGATGTGACTTACGGCAGGTACTGTTAGCTTCTTTCAGTGCATGGGGAAGGACAGGAGGGGGAAGAGGGGAAAGAGGAAGAGGGGAGAAGGGGTTCCTCTCTGACAGGGGATCGTGCTGGAGAGGGTTACCTATGAATGCAGTCGACACAGAAGAACGTCACTTGACCCTCCTGGGGTTTTAAGTTATAACATTGCTGGAATCTTGGAAGGGGAGGGAGAAATGAAATGTTCACTTCATGTCTTTGATGTTATTGTTTTGTTCTTGGTGGTGGTGATGATACTGTTCACATTCTTATTTTTCATTTTCCCCCCTCCCTTTTACTCTATCCTCCTCCTCCTCCTCCTCCTCCTCCTCCTCCTCCTCTTCCGTCCTACATTCATCTTTGACATATCATCAGCGTGTAGAGGTGTGCGGAGGACCAAGAACAGGTGCGTACAGGGATGTACTCACGTTATGCCTTCAGAATTACAACAGCACACTTCCTCCCTGGCTCCACCTGCAGACATCATCTCGCTCTTGTACTTTAGCTCCTTGACCAATGATAATCTGCTTAAGTAGTAACATCACGTTAAATATATATAATATATATATATATATATATATATATATATATATATATATATATATAATATGCTCAATAATAACAAAAGTGAAGACAAAAACTCGATGAATTGATGTGTTGAGTCCATCAAGATTGATGAACTGTGTCCTGACTGTTTCCAGTCTGCAGATTATACCACTAAAATTATACACAAAATTGTACTCTATATATTTACACATTAAAAAGGAGGGAGGGATGTAGGGAGGGGGGTGAAGGGAGGGAGGGAGGGGTGAAGAGAGGGAGGGAGGGGTGATGAAGGGAGGGAGGGAGGGGTGAAGGGAGGGAGGGAGGGGTGAAGAGAGGGAGGGAGGGGTGAAGGGAGGGAGGGAGGGGTGAAGAGAGGGAGGGAGGGGTGAAGGGAGGGAGGGAGGGGTGAAGGGAGGGAGGGAGGGAGGGGTGAAGGAGGAGGGAGGGAGGGGTGAAGGAGGGAGAGTGGTGAAGGGAGGGAGGGAGGGGGAGGGTGAAGGAGAGGGAGGGAGGGTGAAGGGAGGGAGGGAGGAGGGTGAAGGGAGGGAGGGGTGAAGGGAGGGAGGGAGGGGTGAAGGGAGGGAGGGGTGAAGGGAGGGAGGGGTGAAGGGAGGGAGGTGAGGGAGGGTGTGAAGGGAGGAGATGAAATATACACCTACTGTACTACGCTGTATTGCTTGATGTTGACTGAGTGTGTGCGTGTGTGTGCGTGTGTGCGTGTGTGTGTGTGTGTGTGTGTGTGTGTGTGTGTGTGTGTGTGTGTGTGTGTGTAAAGAAGAGAGAGAGAGAGATGAAGGGGGCGTGGACCCCTCGCTCCATTCATTATCCCTGTGCCATTTATCATTCATACTCACCCCACCACACAATGTACACATACCACACGACGCGCACACAACACAAACACACACACGCACACACACACACACACACATGATGTAGTGGAGGCAGGATCCATACATAGTTTTAAGAAGAGGTATGATAAAGTTCATGGAGCAGGAAGAGAGATCTAGTAGCGACTAGTGAAGAGGCGGGGCCAGGAGCTGTTAATCGACCCCTGCAACCACAACTAGGTGAGTACACACACACACACACACCACCTCGTTAGTACAAGTGAGAGTACAGTGTATTACCTCGTTAGGTCATCCAACTAGAAACCGTGATGAAAACGGGGAGGGTTAATGACCCATCCACCAGGAGTAGTTAACTACACCACCAGGAAACCATGGGGGCAGGTAACTACACAACCAGGTAACCACAGGGGCAGATAACTACAGCAGCAGGTAACCACAGGGGCAGGTAACTACAGCAGCAGGTAACCACAGGAGCTGGTAACTACAGCAGCAGGTAACACAGGGGCTGGTAACTACAGCAGCAGGTAACCACAGGGGCTGGTAACTGCAGCAGCAGGTAACACAGGGGCAGGTAACTACAGCAGCAGGTAACCACAGGGGCTGGTAACTACAGCAGCAGGTAACCGCAGGGGCTGGTAACTACAGCAGCAGGTTAACACAGGGGCAGGTAATTACAGCAGCAGGTAACCACAGGGGCAGGTAGCTACAGCACCAGGTAACATAGGGGCAGGTAACTACAGCAGCAGGTAACCACAGGGGCTGGTAACTACACCACCATTTAACAGCAGCAGCAGCTAACTACAACATCAGGTAACTACAGTAGCAGGTAACCACAGGAACAGGTAACGACGGCAGCAGGTAAGGACAACAGCGAGACTGGCGCAAGTAACGACGGCATAATTAAGACAGAGAACACTACTGCTGTGATCTGGTAATTGCTTGATGATGGGGGGGTGACGCCCCCTTCTCCCACAACCCATCACCCCTCCTACCCCCACCCCTCACCCCCCTCTCAGTGCTCCCCAGGTATCACACATTATTCGGCCTCTTCGCTAATCTACCTGGAATCACCCGGGAGACGATCCTGGGAATAATTACCTGGGAATTGGAATGAGGGTGTGTCTGTGAGGTTGCTTAATGGTCCTCTACGGCTTTGGTGGGGAAAGGGGAGGTTGGGCTGGGGAGGGGGTGCTTACAAGGTAGGGGGGAGGGGGAGGAAAGAGGTGGTGGGTGTGGTAGAGGAAGAAAAAAAATATTCCCGGTTTTTAATTAAGAAATTTAGTGTCGTGGTTGTTGTCAATTTTCTGATTTTTTTGTTTCTGTCTCTTGTACAATTGTTTGTCTCTGAAAATTTCAACACACACACACACACACACACACACACACACACACACACACACACACACACACACACACACACACACACACACACACACACACACACACACATACACACACGTTAGGCCCATATTGGAGTATGCAGCACCATTTTTGGAACCCACAACTAGCAAAGCACGTAAGGAAATTAGAGAAAGTGCAAAGGTTTGCAATAAGACTAATCCGGGAGGTACGGGGTATGTCCTACGAGGAGATGTTAAGGGAAATCGACCTGACGACACTGGAGGACAATAAAGATAGAGGGGGGTTATGATAACTACATATAAAATACTGCGGGGAATTGACAAGGTGAACAGAGACAGGATGTTCCAGAGATGGGACACAAGTTGAACACTCAGATGAGTCACAGGGATGTTAGGAAGTATTTCTTCAGCCACAGAATTGTTAGGAAATGGAATAGTCTGGAAAATTATCTAGTGGAGGCAGGATCCGTACATAGCTTTAAGAAGAGGTATGATAAAGTTCATGGAGCAGGAAGAGTGACCTAGTAGCGACCAGTGAAAAGGCGGGACTCACCTAGTTGCGGTTGCAACTAGGTGAGTACACATGCATGCATTACATACGACTTGCCGCAAGAAACTTAATTCAGTGTATTGTTGTTGCTGATGATGAGAAACTAACGATAACCATGAGGAAGACTGAGTGAGTCTCTATGATAACTGGAACAACCTGCAGACTTCTCCAGGGTCCAGACTTCTCCATGGCCAAACTTCTCCAGGGTCCAGACTTTTCTGTGGTCCAAACTTCTCCAGGGTCCAGACTTCTCTATGGTCCAGACTTCTCTGTGGTCCAAACTTCTCCAGGGTCCAGACTTCTCTAGGGTTCAGACTTCTTTAGGGTCCAGACTTCTCTGTGGTCCAAACTTCTCCAGGGTTCAGACTTCTCTAGGGTTCAGACTTCTCCAGGGTCCAGACTTCTCTAGGGTTCAGACTTCTTCAGGGTCCAGACTTCTCCAAGGTTCAGACTTCTTCAGGGTCCAGACTTCTCCAAGGTTCAGACTTCTTCAGGGTCCAGACTTCTCCAGGGTCCAGACTTCTTCAGGGTTCAGACTTCTCCAAGGTTAAGACTTCTTCAGGGTCCAGACTTCTCTCTGGTCCAAACTTCTCCAGGGTCCAGACTTCTCTATGGTCCAGGGTCCAGACTTTTCCAGGGTTCAGACTTCTCCAGGGTCCAGACTTCTCTATGGTCCAGACTTCTCTGTGGTCCAAACTTCTCCAGGTCCAGACTTTTCCAGGGTCCAGACTTCTCTGTGGTCCAAACTTCTCCAGGGTCCAGACTTCTCCAGGGTTCAGACTTCTCCAGGGTCCAGACTTCTCTATGGTCCAGACTTCTCCAGGGTTCAGACTTCTCCAGGGTCCAGACTTCTCTGTGGTCCAGACTTCTCCAGGGTTCACACTTCTCCAGGGTTCAGACTTCTCTGTGGTCCAAACTGCTCCAGGGTCCAGACTTCTCCAGGGTTCAGACTTCTCCAGGGTCCAGACTTCTCTATGGTCCAGACTTCTCCATGGTTCAGACTTCTCCAGGGTCCAGACTTCTCTGTGGTCCAGACTTCTCCATGGTTCACACTTCTTCAGGGTCCAGACTTCTCTATGGTTCAGACTTCTCCAGGGTCCAGAATTCTCTGTGGTCCAGACTTCTCTATGGTCCAGATGTCGTGTGGGGTTCGGTAGGAGATTTTAGGGTTGAATGTAGACACACTTGTTGGATGGTAAGGCTATATTGTCAGACTGTGGTAATGGGAGATGGGAGCCCATGCCTGCCGTGTTCTGCCTGCTTCTATGTTTATCCGTCGAGTGAGAAGGAGGCAGCTCGTCTCACTGACTCATGCTGTATCCCGTGACGTCATACAGTCACTAGGCCTAGGGATCTTCTATACAAAGCACATGGATGGTACTATGATACGCTATACAACACATATAAGGGGATCAGCAACTATGCTGACAGCTCGGTCATGTTATGTATGTAGTCTCGACATACACTACTGTGCTATAGGCTGAACAGGCAGGTGGTTCTGGGCTGATTCTATATAATAACAAATTCATATATAACTTAGAACTAATGGATGGTATCATAATGGATGTTAACATCATGCGTTTTATGTAATGGGTGTTAACATAATCACTTTTAACGTAATGAGTTTCATTGTAATGCATTACGACTTATAAGAACAAATCATTGTACATTATGGATGGAATTGATCGATCGATCAATTCCATCCATAATGTACAATGAGGAAGAATAAATATATATATACAAGGTGAAATTAACAGCAAAGGCATCAGGTGCGCACTCAGATCATTACTGTCAAATTCTCAGAATATGAAGGGAACGTGAACACGAAAAAAAAAATTTGTTTGAAAAACTTTTCAGTTAATAACAAACAGTTGATAATTTCCTTCATCTCGGGCATCTAGTTATACAGACTATGTACATTTAAATCCAATTCTGCGAGGGTGAGGTTTACATATGCAGAATGGTTATCATCTCTGGGAGGATCAAATTCCTCTGCAATGGCTAACACATGCCTTGACTGAGGGAGATCTGAACGAGTATCTACAAAAGATACTTGTGGGTTTCTCATTACTTGTCGAGTACGCAAGGAGTAACGACATTCAGGTTGAATATCTGACTGAGTATTTGAGGTGGAGGGTACAGAGTGAAGAGGATTTTCAGCATCTGTCACATTAGTCTG